AGCCAATCTTTAAATGGAGCTAGAGCTAAATTATTTTTAGCGACCTTCCCCCCCCCCCCAAAGAAAAGACAATCTGTTTGAAATTTTAACCCAAAAAAGGCTAACAACTGCAGTCAAATTTATGTTAAAATGGGGGATTTGTTGTAAAATGTAAATTCAGGTGGCGTTATCCCACCAGGCTACCGAAACTCGCAAACCTTTCAGCTCTTGTATAATTGGATCTGAACAGCAGACCCTGACTGACTTGGTATGCAAATTTAATTAAACTTGGTATGCAAATTTAATTAAACTTTTGAGAGATGGATTCTCAGTTCAGTTGAAGGTCGTTGAATGATATTCAGATACGAAACAATGCATTCTGATCAGCATGACCATGAAAGGCATGAAACCAAATATTATACAGCTAATTCAATTAAGATTATCCTTTCATAAGGTCAAAACCCCCAAACCTCGGCCTCTAAGCGCGAAAAGCACGATGGAATTGGATTTGCATATAATATATAATTGATACTTCCGACACGCCGGTGTAGGTCTCACTTCTGCGAAAAAAACGTAAGGTAGTAGTATGCGTAGTTTGTTAGTAGTATGAGTAGTTTTTACTGCGCATATATTCCTGCCATGTTCTTAAACCTGGACTGTCTGGTTTCCATATGGTCGTATTAAAAATAGACTCACGATCTTTCTCAACGGCCAGTTTATACCTGTAAACCACATATAAATCATAAGTATTCTCTAGTTAAAATCACTCCGCGTATTTTCAAAAATGTTGTATTTTGGCTGATGAGAAAGATCGTGACTCAATCTTTACGACCGTTACGACCATATGGTAACCAGGCTTTAGTAAGTGCCCTAAAGAGAAGCATTCGCCCCCTTGGAACATTAAATTTCAATATGTTTTTTTTTTGGGGGGGGGAGGGTGACAGCGTCTCATTAGGGCACTTGCTAAGAACTTCATGGCTGACTGGGACAATCCCTTACGCTAAATTAACCTGAAGTGAGACCTCTGTGTGTAATTACTCTCTGCCGTAGTTACGGTTGCTACGTCCCATCAGCCGTTTGGCTAAAAAAGCGATTTATAATTTACAAATTCCCACGAGTTTCACCTATTTCGTATTTTAATCGCCCGTCTAACGCAATTCAGTAGAAAACCCGGCACAATTTATAGGATTTTTAATTGCAGAAAGTTGTTGTGCAGTGAACACACTTGTCAATGATTAACCTCACAGGATCGATTAGCATAATTATTAGACAAAAACTTGATCAGCAAAACATAACAATTAGATAGTGCTAACATGCATGTAAAAACAGTCTCATAATTATAACACGCCCATTGTGCTTTTCGCGCTTGAGAGCTCGATGTTTTTGACATTCAGAGGACAACCTCGACTGAATTTCCCTATATTTCTCAAAAGTGAAAATGAACATTGAAATGGTAATTTGCATACCAAGTTAATTTTATTCTTTGATAGCTTTTTGCATCCATCACATCTCAAGCACCTCAAGATGCTGAGCGGAAGAATGGGACGGAGTTTGTGGTTCCTGGGTTTGATCCTCATGTTATTCATCGTGTGCGTCGAATGCTGGCAGGACTACGATGTGCCTCCTGAAAGCGAAAGGATAACATCGGCTTCTCCGGAGTTCAAATCCAGAAGCTTGATGCAATTTTGTTTGGCCAGCATCGTAACGGCTTTAACCTTTTTACTGTAAACGGAACATGAAAATATTAAGATTAATTTCTTAAAGGAATAGTATTGGTGAAATAGGACATAATTATGGTGACTATAATAAGTCATTTGGTTGATTCGAATTATAATTTTGGGATGAATGTACGATTACCTTTAGAATAGTGTTGGTATTAAATAGGACAAAATTAATGTGGCTATATAATAATGATCATAATAATTCGTTTAGTTCATTTAAATAATACTTTAAGGATGAATTTTTGTCTTCTGGTTTTGGTCAATTTCCATACTAAAGTTAATCTAGGTTTAAATGCAATCCTTACTCCAATCTTTCCTAACTCTAATACTAACTATATCAACATACAGACAGAGGTCTCACTTCAGGTTAATTTAGCGTAAGGGATTTTTTCAGTCGCCATGTTCTTAGCAAGTGCCCTAAAGAGAGGCATCCCCTGAAAACATATCGAAATTCAATGTTCCCGGGGGGTGAATGCCTCTCTTTAGGGCACTTGCTAAAAACATGGCCGCCAGCTATTTTGGTATAAAAAACTATCGGCCTACCTTACGGTTTTCCCGCAGAAGTGAGACCTCCGCTGTATGTACTTACTCTGTGCTAATAACGTAATTCGAATCTTCTCTCCGTAAAAATGCTTTTGATCTTTATAGCCTGAAAACAGACCTACGTTTCGACCCGCGAATTTTAGGGCAGGCGAAACGTAGGTCTGTTTTCAGGCTATGATCTTTCTGACATATAGTACCACTGATCTGAAAATTGTGACTGGATAGAGTATCTTTTTGAATTCAATCGGCCAATTTTGAAGGCAGAATATTTATGAGATGAAATTTTAAAGTCTGCCAAAATCTCTGCAAATGGCGTTGCGAGACAAGTTGCACGAGTCATTGCACCGTTTAACATGCCTTGCAATGGTCAAAATCGTTGCGAGACAAGTTGCATGAAGCATTGCACAGAG